ATTGGATATGTTACATTTATTCACCGAACGTAATTAACGACTAATTGCTTTGTTTTCTGTAATATTTAAATAATTTCTTAGTTGCTCTTGCATGTAATTTTTGTTTAAATCGTACGTTTCGTTACGAGTATGGCATACGGGTGCGGCAGCATCGAAGGCAGTTGTCGCTCCCCTGTGCGTCCGCTATACGAACGTTCTGATTGGTCCCGGTTTTACGTTAATAGCTCTTAAAAAGAAAAAGTTGTTTAAAATCACGTCAGCTCCTTCCCATTTTAAGGCTTAACACTAGATCTGAGACACCATATATACCAATATGTATGTACGACAGGTGTAAATATATGCCAGTTGCAGCGAAGGATATGCAAATATATCATAAATGGTTAAATTGTTAGTGAAATAGCAATACCTTACAGTATTGGAAAAACAAGTGTCTATGATAGAAAGAACTAAGTATGAAATTGTTAATCATAGCGACAGTTTATCAGAATGTACATCAAAAAGTATGATAATTGCTAATAAATAAATTCTTGATATAGCAGTGTGTAAGTGGTTTTATCAAAAGCATGACAATTGAGAATCTATATCTGACCCTACATTATTTGAAAAGGCTTTAAAGTATAATGTAAAATTGAATGGCGATTCTAGCTTTGAAGGGAAACGATCATCGGAGTTGTAAGCAAACTTTAACCCTTTCGCTACCCTGGACGAGACATTTCGCATCCAGGTACAGCTCGATTAATGCTTTTGACGAGATACCTCGTGACTCGATACTAGCCGGTTAACACTTTCAACGATAAATTGTCGAAAGCATTAATTAGCTAACACCAGGATGGGATATTTCGTCAGTCAGAACAGAGTCGCAGGATGTCTCGTCCAGGGTAGCAAAAGGGTTAAAACATGACACGGTCCTTATGAAATAAGTATATTGGGCGAAAAATTATCGTCAAATAAATCTGCGGCTGAAATTCTCAAAAGGATGTACAGAATTATTAAAATGAGAAAATTACATGTTGGGAAATTCCTATAACACAGATGAAACAAACTTATTATGGAAATCATTCTTCCGAACGTCAATATGAACGCTTCGAACTGGGTCATGACGTTAGTGAAGATAAAATTATGAATCTTGTATGTGCAATACTTACCTCTGGAAGTCATGAGCTTTCTGTTTTTTCGTACTTGGAAAGATTAACAAACGTAAATGCTTCAAAGATGTAAAGTTAAATACTATGCCTGGTATGTGGTATTTAACTCAGAGAAATGCTTGGATTGATACGAACTTCTTTGTGATAATGTATTTTTTATATAAATTGCTCGATTGTTAAAAAAAATTCGATTACTCGTATATTTTAAACAGAATTAATTCGAGGATTCGAGAATAATCGGGATTCTATTGCCCCACGTCCACATTTCCCAAACTTGAACAACACACATGCTTCACTTTTACTATATTATCACACGCGGTTCACACAATGAACG